TATATATATATATTCATAAAACGGTAGGAGGATGTTTCCAACATTTCAGGTGAGAATCTCTGGAATGGATCCTTCAGCCGAGTATGTTCTGCTCATGGACTTCATCCCTGTTGATGACAAGAGATACAGGTTAAGCAATATTGATTTCATTCATAAATATGAAGACCGATGCAGATTAAGCTTCCTTTACTTTTACACTGTCTTGAGAGTTTTGATTAATTAAAAAAAGTAGCTCAAGACATTCTAATTCAAATATGCTCTGTTTATAATATTTCTGTTTGTTTGTAATAAGTTCTATAGTTTAACTTACTCTTTGTCTTTTTAATTATGCTTTCATTTAATCAAGTTTTAATGTTTATACTCTATCTGTGCAAGGTGCCATATAAATTAACTTTATCTAAATTTCACTACAGAAAAACTGACTTAACATGTTGATCATCTGCATCCTTAAATTCACATCAATTAAAAAAAAAAGAAAAAAAGAAATAATAATCTGTGTGTTTCAGATATGCATTCCACAACTCCTCATGGTTGGTAGCAGGGCGAGCGGATGTTGCAGCCCCGAGCAGGATGCATTTCCACCCAGACTCACCGGCCCCTGGAGCCCAGTGGATGAAGCAGACAGTGTCGTTTGACACTCTCAAGCTCACCAACAACCTGCTGGATGACAATGGACATGTCAGTTGGATGTTCTTATTGCTTTTCACTCCATGCATCAACGAAACAGCCCCTGAAATGTTTATTTGAACTGACTCTTTGTTTTCTCCTGCTTTCTGTTTGTAAGATGATTCTGAACTCCATGCATCGTTACCAGCCACGCTTCCATGTAGTGTATGTGGACCCAGCACCCAACAGCCATTTAAACGCTTACAAGAACTTTTGCTCTTTCTCCTTCCCTGAGACACGGTTCATGGCCGTCACCGCCTATCAGAACCACAGGGTAAGAACTGGACCTTCGGTAGCCTAAATACTGAATGGGGCCAACCATTCCTATATAGATGAAGTATATGATTTAAGAGAAAAGAAAATGCTGAATATTTGAATTTTTCGATTCTTTTAGATAACTCAGTTAAAAATTGCAAGCAACCCATTTGCTAAAGGCTTCAGGACCACAGATCCACAGGCATGGTGAGTGCCAATCTGCCCTAATTCAGCTTTTGTCCTTGACTAGCAGCAGAATCCTGACATGATCGTCTTTTTCCACCGTTATCAGCTGCTAAATGATAAGGCTGCGGGCCTGATCACAGCTAATCTTTCACCTTTGTACTGTCTTTCACTCGTACAGTTGCTTCAGATACAGTAGATTGATCACAAATGCGTGTAAAGGCAGGTATACAGCTTTCTAGAAAGGACTGCGTAATTGCATGTAACAGCTGTGTTCTTACATTTGCGTGCAGGGAAAGTACTGCAAGCTCCCTTGCAGTATCCTGTCCACCAGATGGCGGTACAGAGCCCCTCACCACTAAAGCTAAAGATCAGAGTGGTTCAAAGCCTTCAGCCAGTGAGTATTTTACAACATATTACTTTTCAGCTCAGTGCAGAGTTTAATTGTTTAAAGTTGTATGATTCATCCAGCAGTACTAAGACTCTTAGTTCTAATGTATTAGTCCTATTGTATTTGCACAACTTTACTGATTTTGACTAACATCTTGGCTGTTGCAGTTTATAGTCTCTCTTTTTGATTCTCAAATGAACATGCACATTTTGTACGTTTTGTACATTGTTAAATTTACCTTCTCAGTTGCACATTCCTTTGGACCAGAGTATTTTATTTTTTCTATAACTCCACGGAATTCAAGTTGAAATTTTCTCAAGTTACAGTATTTTTTCTCCTTAATTGGTTTCATATATTGCATATTTCTATCTTCGAGTGAATCTACTTGCTTTGATTGCCTGTGGCAATGTCTGTGCTTCTGCTGCACTGAAATTTCCCCGCTGTAGGACAATAAAGGATATTTCAATTCTACATTGCAATGTTATAAAGCCATGATAATAAATGTCTGTTTGCTCAAGAATTGTAATCGTCATACAAAATATGGAACAACCAAACTAACCTATTTAAGCATTTTTCTCTTCATTTACAGGAGAGACAAGTTCATCCTCTGTGCTGCTGCAGGCGTGTGAGCTGCCTTACCAAAAGGAGGACTCTGTGGAAGTCACCATGGAGAGCAAAGATGGGAACAGTTTAACAACATCTGCACATTTCCTCCATATTCCCGTGTACTGGGATTGCACTGGATCATCTCACTAGAAAGTCAACCTGTTGCAAAGCAAGCAAACAAAAACCAATTGTTCCAATTAGCCCCTTAACGTCTGGCTACTTTCCTTCTTATATTTATGGATATAGTACACTTTTGGTAGTTCTAGTTAGTGGCCTCCATGTCTGACCCTTTAAATTACTTATTAAATTCTTTCAAAAGAAGATGTCAATGGTGACATTATTAATGATGCCACTGAAAGACCTCAGGAGCCACATAACAGAGGATTATATAACACACATTAAAATCAGCTAATATGGTGGTTCCCAAAAGTATATACACCCACCTCTTAAATTACAACTTTTTTGTTTTGTTAAAAACAGGGATTGCCATAAATGATTCCAAATGCCTTTCCACACCTAATTTATTTATTTTTTCTTAAGTGAGAAAGAAACAAAACAAGAAACAAATCTATGTAGAAATGAGTAAATTAATAAAGGCACAATCACATGGTTGTAAATGTGTGTACACCCTGAAACTGAATTGTTGCTGAAGCATCTTTTGATTCAGTTTCACATTATGTCATCTCTTGTCCATTATTGAGGTAGCACTGTGTTAAAGCTACAAAAGGAAACCTACAAGCAGCATGTCAGGGAAGCAGCCACTTGCAGGCTCTACCCAGGCAGATAGCCAGATGAATTAACTGGCTCATATCAGCGATTTATATCATAATTGAAGAACAGAATGTCAAAAGAAAATTAACATCTGGCTCTGAAAACACAAGCAAAATTTCAACATATAAATGTTCTGGATTTCGATATTAAAATTGTTATTTATGTTTTGGTTTAATTTACCTGTAATGGGCTCACACCAAGTTCATTTAAATTAAGCTCATCGTCAGTGTGAGAGGAGACAGACACCAGAATTAATATGTGTGTAATACAGCATTTTAATACCAATAAAAACAATTAACATATACGTATGACGTAGGCCATCTTGATTTTGCTTACAAGTATGTGATAAAAATATTAAATATGAAATATGTATCCCTCTAAAACTACAGAGAGGATGAAAGAGAATGGAGAAATCCTTTGAAGCCAAAGAAGTCAGGTTAAAAACTCCATTACCCATGATACCACTCTTCTCTAGGAAGGGAGGGGAGAACTGAAAAACGATTCTGCTTTCAAAATAAAATACAACAAATGTTCAGCAATTCTTTTTTTTTTACAATGTTACAGTGTAGCATTTTAGATGTTTCATTTGCTAATGGAAAAGTGACATTATTGTTGACATATTTTATTGGGAATTGGATCAGCAGTCAATAACTAAATATATTTTTTCCTCCTGTTTGCCATATGTTTGGGGTGCTACAAGACTACGAGCTTTAAAGATCGAATGGGCCAATAGACATAATTTAATATGGGGACAATCTGACTATCATCCCTCATCACAATACAGCTAATAATCCTCTGTCATCCATATTTGTGCAATAAATATCTAATGTTGTGTGTATTATATCTTACAACTCTGAAAAATAAACACATTTAGCAAACAATTATTGCCTGTACCACTTAATCTGTGTTTCTTAGCTGTTCTTCCCTGTCACAACCAAACCAATATGTAACTTACTGGAAAAGAGCCCCCAAAAAAGAAGAAATTATTTGGTAATTCATCTAGTTTCACATAAAGATGTCCCTGATCACACATCTCAGTCCAGGTTTGTCCAGCTCTGCACTTTTCTCAGCCGAGATGGTTCTACTATCTAGGCAGGACTGAAATGTTTGAGTTTTATGAGCAGGATAACGGTTTCATAAACCTAATTTTTTTTAATCAGAAATAATTTCTGTTTAGTTTAGAATTACATAGCTGAAATATATGACCAGTCTAAGTAGCTACAATTTGGAATTGGAGATGGTCAAATGCAAGCAAGGGTCTATAAAAACACTGACAGTATCATACCAGTGTCATTAGCCAATATTTTCTTAAAGAGTGTTGCTCTCTGTGCATGCCACATCAGGTAAAACACTCAGGCATATAAATAAATAGATTGTGCATGGTGGCATCCTTTGAAGTCGGCCATCCAGAGCAAAAGCCTAGAATATGAAAGTTGTCAACTAAATAATTTTGGTACTGGTACTCTATGAGAGAACAGCGAGGAGGATATTTTGAAAAGTCATCCAGGAAACAGTTTGGATTTGCAGTTTGACTTGGCATCACTGATGCCTGCACCTTCGCAGATCTGAAGGATGCGACGGAGTAGATGGAGGAGGAGGAAGAGGAGGTGAAAGACAGGAAGGCGGAGAACAGCATGAACTGGACGGAAAATAGGGAGGATGCGGATTACGGTAGCCTACCGGCCAGTCTGCCTTCTGGTGATGTTTTCGGTCGTTTAGTACGAAGATGTTCGGGTAAAGAGACCCAGGCCTGCGGCTTGTAATCACACGGAGCAAGTGCTGGTGATTTATGCGTCGCCTCAAATTGACACCGAGCAAGCCTGAGCGTTAATTGAGAGGACGATTTGATGTCTACCATAGGGTTAGTGTGTAGTCTATTAGAATGACTGATTTAATTTAACGCTAAAATCAGTCAAATCATATTGAACCTCGTGCCTTTTAGCGTTGTGGGTCAACTGCCATAATGGTTTTAGCCGTCGTTTTAGCATCATCCCCTCTTGACCCATTCTCTCGTGCTGCTTCGCTCTGGATGTCAAGCTGAAAGCCGCGCCGCAAAGTCAGCGCCAAACATCAGAAATAAAACTGAGCCGTGGTTAAACATGACGGGGTCAAGGCTGCAGCCGCGCTGCTTGACGGCACTATTCATATGGACGACTCTATGTCTGCACAGCAGCGGACAACCAGCACCTGACTCCTCGGGCCTGCCTCGAGCCATCCGCGTGCCACTGCGGCAAGGCGCTCGCGCCGAGCAATCACCGCCGCTGCCACCTGCCGCCGAGTCGAAACGGGGACGCGGCACCGCGAGCGAATCTCCTGCGCGCAGGCGGAGAGGAGCGGCAGAGGGCGGTGTCAGCTTTGTGGACATGATCGACAACCTGCGTGGGAAATCCGGTCAGGGATACTACGTGGAGATGGCTGTGGGCTCTCCTTCGCAGAAGGTAAAAAAAAAAAAAAAAAAAGTCTGCTACATGACCACTTATTGTCATATCAGACATGTCATTAAATGCCACACAGGTGCACAACGATACAAATACATTTAACTATGGTTTGTAAGAAACAACAACAAAACAAACAAAAAAAAAACATTTACTTTATTCGTTATGACTTTTTAGTGTGTAGATACAAAACTGATATAAATTATGATATAATACGTCAGTTTTATATTATGAAATAATTCCAGGAATGTTTCTCTTTAATTAATCATATTCAATAAAATTGTTTTTAATTTGTCATAGTGATGGTTATAGCAATAACATAAGATGTTGTATTAATGTTAATTATGTTTTAGCTACACACAAAGCTTTAAAATAAATTAGGGCTGCAGCTAATGATTATATTATTGAAAGAATCAATTATTCTCTTGATTATTCTGATGATTAATCGATAAAAAATGGCACATTCTACATATGTTTTTTTTAACCACTTAAGCTTATTTTATACAATATTAGAAACATATTAAAAATGCAAAAAAGAAAGAAAACAAAACAATTCAATTTCTTTTCAAGTACGTGGAAAACAATTACCTGACTGAAGTGCAAAGAATCTGCATCTAAAAAATATTATAACATCAACATGTGAAAAGCTCAGCCCTTTCTGTTGGATGTAACATCAACAGGGCCAATCTGTTGATTATCTTTTTTGATTAACTGATTAATCGAAAAAGGTGCTTAACAGGATATTTTCTTAAAGAATCCAGGTCCTGTCAGGAGTTCTGGGTTGGACATTTTTAAAATGCAAAATGTATAAATATTTTTGTACAGTTTTGGCTTAACTACTGCTCTGAGTAAATTATTCTTTCAGCAAATGACCTTTTTGTGTCCGTACACTCTAGTTAATGACAATTAACAATTATTTCAACAATTATTTCAACAATCGATTCATCAATATTAGTCCAACTAATCGCTTCAGCCCTTAAATAAATGGAGAAACTAAACTCTCCCTAATACACTGCTCAAAAAAATAAAGGGAACACTCAAATAACACATCCTAGATCTGAATGAATGAAATATTCTCATTGAATAATTTGTTCTGTACAAAGTTGAATGTGCTGACAACAAAATCACACAAAAATTATCAATGGAAATCAAATTTATTAACCAATGGAGGCCTGGATTTGGAGCCACACACAAAATTAAAGTGAAATGTTCCCTTTCATTTTTTTGAGCAGTATAGCTTGTTGCAATTTGAGATCATAAAGGGGAATTACTAAAAACTTACATCACTCCCGCAACAGGCTTTAAAGTTGATTATTCTACTTTCATCGCAGCACTTTAAAAGTCCTTCAAATGTACCTTCTGATTGTCCACGACTGCGGGTTGGCGCTGCCATGGCAGGTGGCCTGTGTGTGAAAGTATCTGAACAGAGACAGACAGATAATGGGACCATTAATTCTGCAGAGCAAGGACTGCCAGCTGGGCGCAGCTGCAGTGCACAGGCTGGCACACAGAGGGTGACGGCAAAGGAAAGGAGAATCAGACAGAGATGAGTCGCCTTAGGGAGGATAAAACGAATGAATGAAAGCTGAGGAAGGGAGAAAAGAAAATGAGCGAGAAGATCAAGGCGAAGAGCGGTATAGAGGTGAAGGAAGGGAAAAGGAAGTGGATGACGGGTGTAGGAAGAAAAAAATGTGACAGACGATTGATGTGGGGAGTCAGACTGGGAAGTCCCTGGAGAGAAGGAAGCTAACTGTAGCGAGAGAGGATGAGCGAGACAGAAGGCTTTAAAGTCCTCAGTGTAGGTGACACTCGCTCTTGAGAGACACCAAAGCTTTCAGAAAAGGTAGAAGACAGATTTGTGGGGTAGAAATCTCAATTTTCAGGACATTTTTTTCCCATCCAAATCTTTATAAACTTTTAACTTTCCATCGATTTTTCACTTTAGAAGTCAAGAGGACGTTGCACTGTGTATGTGTGAGTAAAGAAAGCGAGGTTTTGCTACTGTACTTGAAAACAAAGACAACATAATAACACTAGGACTGAAATTGAAACCTATCTATAAACCGTCTCATGCCGTATTAGCAATTTTTCTGATTAAACTGTGTTCCCATGAGAGGATAGACCGTTACCTTATCTCGAAAGAATACTAGCATTTTCAACTCCAGGATCAACATTAGGAGACAAACTTTAAAAGCTGAAAAGGATAGAAGTGAGCACTTCGGCTGTAAAATATTCCTCCTTTTTATTATCTGCTAAAAATCTTGCTCTCTCTTAGTTTGAGCTGTAGAATTGCTTTGAAATATCCAAGAAAATGTAGTTTCCTCTTAGACAGTCTTTACAACGCTGTACTGCCTTTGGCTTCTTTTATTAACACGATTGAAAATAGCCAACTTTGAGTATTATTCCCCCCAGCACCACCTTCCACACCAACGAGTGTTGTTAGCACTCATGATTGCTCTCATATTTTGTTCACTGACTACACAAAGGTCAGATTTCTGAGCTTCACCCCGGCCAATCAATCTAGATTTTCGTCAGCAGCTGATTTCTTTGTGCACCTCCACAGACAGACTTACTAAAGCTTCTCTTAAACCCCAAATATTTTCTGGTAAAGTTAATTTTAGGACCATGTCATCTAGGAAAAATGCTGTTGTGTTTTATAGACCAAATTATGTTTTCTGAAAAACAATGCAATAACTAAAAAGTTCTGAATCCTTCCAGCAAAACTGGTGGCAAATATAATGGCTGGAACAAAAAGGATCATGAAGACAGGCATTGGGGGCGGAGAGTGCAGGGAAAGGTCTCAGCGTGTCAGGATGCAGCCTTCAGTGTTGGTGTCCTGCTGAGCTCTGAATGTTGTGGTGAAAGAGACAGCTCTACCCTGGACACTCAGCAGATTTCTGTGCAAGGGATTAAAGACACAAGGTTCAGAATTAGGACAAACTCTGGTAACGTTTGAGTAGACAGTTCTATGCGGATTATGCTTGTGGATGGCGCAGCGTGTGTGTGAGATTGAGTGCGTGAGTGTGTGAGAAAGAGAAGAAGGTAGACAGCGTCAGGATTTATTCTAGGCTGTCAGGGCTGGCCCTTGAGACAATAGCACTTCTCTGGGTATTTTAAGAGCCAATCCATTATTGAGCAGCTTGCTTTAGCTCTGCGGCTGGCTCTCTGGGTGTTTCTGTGCTACCGTGCCTCTCCTCACTCCCAGCATCCTGCTCTTTTCTTTCAATCTGTCACCGGCGACCTGTGAAACATCCAGGCATGAATAAAGCAACGCCGAGTTGTATATTTTCTGCTTTGCCGAGCGTCTGTCTGTTCGCTCCATTCACACGTTCGCTGACTGTTTTGACTGACGGCGCAAAATATGATACTCTCATAGAGATGCAGAAGAGGAGGAAATGGCAGAGAGGGAGGGGGGGGAGTAGAATACGCAACTTGAGAGACAGGGAGGGTTTGAGGGGGAGACGGAGATGGGACAGACAAGGACATCTGGGTCAGAGGGAAAGTACTGCCTCTTATAAAGAGTCCCTGCCCATTGCCCAGTGATGCAATTTGTCTGTTTTCTTTAGTTGAATATCCTGGTGGACACAGGAAGCAGCAACTTTGCTGTTGGGGCAGCTGCACATCCCTTCCTCCGCCGATACTACCATCGTTCACTGTGAGTTGTCACTTAGTCGCTACACACACAGGACCTTGCAGAAAGTATTCACATCTCTATTTAAAAAAAAAACAAAACAAAACAAACAAAAAAAAAACTACCCAATTGTTTATTAGGCCCGAGCAGCTAAGCGCTGCGAAGGCCTATTGTAATATTTGGCTTGCATTTGTATTCACCCCTTTTACTCTGACAGCCATAAATAAAATTCATACATTTTGAAATCCTTTCCCCTTCCACTTCACAGTTATGTGCCACTTTGTGTTCCTTTTTTTCCCACTTAAGGTCTCAATGAAATGCTTGTTATAATGTGGAAAACTTAAAGAGGTTTGAATATTTTTGTAAACGAGTAAACACTTGCTCACAGAATTAATTGACTGTATTCTCTTGCACTGGTGTTCAGCTCTAGTTCATACCGAGACCTGGGCAGGAGTGTGTACGTTCCCTACACTCAGGGCCGCTGGGAGGGGGAGCTGGGCACCGACCTGGTCTCTGTGCCACACGGCCCCAATGCCACGCTGCGCGCCAACGTCGCTGCAATAACCCAGTCAGACCGCTTCTTCATCAACGGTTCAAACTGGGAAGGAATCCTGGGGCTGGCCTACGCTGATATAGCTCGAGTGAGTTTTTACGACTTATTTTATTAATGCCTGGGAACAATTCAGCTTCAAGCTATGAGGGAGAAACTCTGCTGCTCACAGTTATATTCAATGAAACAAACCTGAAGTTAATTTCTCGGCAGCTGCGCTATTGTGGGTAATAAAATAAAACTGGCCCTTAGAGATTACTTAGCAAAGATTTGTATTGGCATTTAATCTGAGGAATAGAAGAAGACATGCAAATTTAAAATTTTCTGTTTTTAGCTGAACTGTTAGGCCAAAATTGGCTTCTAGGCAGCAGCAACTTGAATAGTAAATTACATCGTTCAACCCTGTTTATTTTGAGTCAAACTAGCAACATACAGTTGTGGTCAAAAGTGTACATACACTTGTAAAAAATCATAATGTTATGGCTGTCTTGAGTT